ACCGCACCGCTCCGCTCCTCAGACCGCTCTGCTCCTCGCACCGCTCCCCGCACCGCTCCTCACACCGCACCGCTCCGCTCCTCAGACCGCTCTGCTCCTCGCACCGCTCCCCGCACCGCTCCTCACACCGCACCGCTCCTCAGCCGGCTCTGCTCCTCACACCGCTCCTCACACCACTCTGCTCCTCAGACCGCACCGCACCGCTCCTCAGACCGCTCTGCTCCTCACACCGCACCGCACCGCTCCTCAGACCACTCTGCTCCTCACACCGCACTGCACAGCTGCTTGGTGATCATTGTAGTGCCTAAGGACCCGGGTTCGAGACTGTCAATCTGGCTGGTTTGTGGGACATGTGGCCTCTGAGCAAGGCCTTTAACCCTCATTTGCTTCAGGGACTGGCTGACCCTGTTCTGACAAAAATGTTTGTCGCTTTGGATAAAAGGGTTAGCTCAATAAATACATGTAAAGCAGACAGGTCTCGGGGGAGATGGACGTTTCCGGAACACTTGCTTCTACCTTTAAGAGAGCAGCAGCAAACTCCACTATCTGCCGATAGAGTCCGGCTGCAGAAACCCAAGTCCCATGGGCTCTGGCGGCGCCCCTTGAAGTCGCAGAGAGCAAAGCCCGACTCCTGCATTCTTCACGCAATTCCCAAATTACTATAATCCCTTCCAAGCGCCATGTTCAGTGTGACTGATGGGACTCCGGCTCCGGCTCTTGAAGTGAACTCCTTCCCATTTCCAAAAATAGGCCAGCATGGCCACGGAATATGTGCCACTAGAAAACAGAGCTCTGAGGAGGAGGAGGAGAAGTGGCACAGCCACACAGAGCAGCCTGTGACGCACGACACACATTTACCCCTGGAGCAACTAGGGGTTAAAGGGCCTTGCTCAAGGGCCCAAGATCAATATCGGTCTGTCGACCCTGGGATTAGAACCGGTGATGTTCCGATCACAGGCAGAGCGTCCTAATCCAGAGCCACACCCCATCCCCCATAAAACTTAAAAACAACAGATTAAATCAAATGACGAAGAAATAACAGATGATCCACACAGGTGAGTCTCAGTAACCGTGGGACAAGCAGGATCTTGCAGGTGAGGATTTTAACTAACTTGAATCAACAAATTGAAAAAATTGGACATAACCATAGATACACGAGGAGGGAAGGAGAGAGACAGATGTACACAGACAGGCAGGCAGACAGAGACTGCCAGACAGACTGACAAGACAGAGACTGCCAGACAGACAGACAGGCAGGCAGGCAGACAGAGACTGCCAGACAGGCAGGCAGACAGAGACTGCCAGACAGACTTACAGACATAGACTGCCAGACAGACAGGCAGGCAGACAGATTGACAAGACAGAGACTGCCAGACAGGCAGGCAGACTCACCATCCACTGCGGACGCGAGGGAATAGCAGGCCCCAAGAACACAGATCCAGAGCAAGACTCTCGTCATTCTTGTCAGACACCTGGAATCCCGCCTATCCGAAGAACCCAGTCGGCCAGAGGATTCAGCAGCAGCAGCAGCAGCAGGGAGTGAAGGCAAGGAGACCCCCAAAGGCCGCAGAGAGCCGGTGCGGGGGGGATGGCAGGCCTCGACGTTCCTTTTCACTTGATCCCCTTGTCCACAAGCCTGGAACCGAGAGAGACGGAGAAGCTTAATGAGACTGGACCACACAGCACGGCTAGCGTGGAACCCGTAACAGAATCCAATGGTGCCAGGGGTCACATGTGAGAAGCGGGAGGTCAGGGGTCACAGCCAGACGTCTTTGTGCATGAGCCCCCAAACATTAAGCGGCTTGTTGTTCTTCGGCAACCCACCCCCCACCCCACATAAACCCAACAAAATCACTCAGCCCCGGCTTAAAAAAAGATTCCTTGTATTATCATCAAACAAAAACAATGAAGTCAGTCAGAGAGAGACGTGGATGTGATTAGAGGACAGGGCGCCTCCTGGTGGCTCCCATGAGCCCTCACTCAGCCTTCTAACCAATCAGCTCTGCACCTCTGAACCCCGACCCTACCCCCAATCCCTACACTCTTAGCACGTCTCTTTGGGGTTGAGCGATTGCCGGGGGAGGGTAATGCAATAGCCGGATGGAGTCTGTCACATCTGATTTCCTTCAGGGAGGGCAGAGCCTGACCCCAGCCCTACTTTTCACGCACCATTACCATCTGGGTTTTGGGGGAACAATGGCATTCTCCTGAAGACCGGGTCGGGTTGGGGGGTGGGTATCACCCTTCACCAGTGAAACTGTGCGCTCCAGAGCTCTGACCAAAGGGGAACCACACTGGTACCAGTAGAAGAATGTGCCTAAACATTACTATCCAGAGAGAATTTGTATGTGCTTGTAACAGGCTCGTCGTCCTCATTTCCTCTGAAAGCCTGGGGGATGTTTACCATGCAACGCTCGCACCCAGAGAGGCATGCAAACCCGTTTGCAACACTGAGTGTTTAAGGTAGCACTACAGGGGCCCATGAACACGCAGTTAGGGCCTCTAACCCAAATCCTGAGCCACCCGGAAGACGCCCCAGAGGGACAGGCTGGGGCGGGGGCGACATAACCAGGAACCCCACCCGGAAGTGACATCCCGCCTCTCAGGATTAGCACGTTCACAACGGCGGTCCTGATGGAAATCTGCTGGCCAGCAGGTCTGCAGAAACCAGACACGTCCCACCTGCACTCAGAGTAGTTTGAGTCAGCCAGCTTCACGAGCATTCACCTGTTAGGTAAAAATATCATTGGCCGAAATGTCCGATGTAAAACATGCCAAATAACTTCACTGACAGAATATTAAATAGCCTAATTTCGTGTGACCTTACATATGAACGGATATTGTGCAAAAGTTTGGTTTTGCCCCTGCTGATATGACAAAGAAATTCACTGAGCCTAATGTAAACGTGCTGCAGCGTGTTAAGGGAGGACAGAGAAACACTATTCGCTCTCAGACAGGTCAAATGGCATTTTTCTACAGCACCAGGTACTGAACTTTTGGTACTTTGAGAAAGTTTAAGGTGTTCGTTTTCCACTGGCGTAAAAACTGGTACCAGCGCTGAATGACATCACAGAGATAGGTGAGGTATTTTGTACTGAATTTCAAAAATGGCTGTAGTATGTTATAGGGCTGGACAACGTGTGTTATTAATACCAACATCGCATGTTATGCACATGCAATTCTCTCTAGTCGGCTGTATTAAAATAAGGTTTTGTCTTACTCTCAATTCTGTATGGACATTTTAGCGCAGGGGGTTAAAGTTTTGCTAAAATGTTTACTTTGTTACTCTGTCATAGAAAAAAAAACTAAGCAAATTTTGCAATTTTAATTATTCCATTTATAGATTCTTATATCTTTAAAAGTCAGTTTAAAGTTTACCTCCACTGTCTGAGGGAGCCAGCAGGCATGTGCAGGTATGTGCAGGTATGCGCGCACCACACACACGCAGACAATAATATACGCAGACACACACACACGTATGCGCACCTCACACAGACACGCACACGCAGACAATAATATACGCAGACACACACACAGGTATGTGCACCTCACACAGACACGCACACAGACACACACACGCGCACCACACACACACACACACACACACGCACACACACGCACACACACAGAAACCCTTGCAGGGAGACCCTGCTCCCACCGTCCTCCTCTCGCTCCTCCTGCTTTGCTCCCTGCTCCTTGGCCTGTAACCTGAGCCCAGCACAGCCTCCCAGCCTACCCCCACCCCCCCGCCGCTCCTGGCACAGATCCTGAGCCCCTCTGGGGGCCCCTCCTTGCCCCCCTCCCCGCCCGTTCGACATCCCTCTCAGACTTTCTGGCTCTCGCCTCACTGTGCCGCACTGGAGCCCCGCCCCTCATGCCTCACTGTGCCGCACTGGAGCCCCGCCCCTCATGCCTCACTGTGCNGCCTCACTGTGCCGCACTGGAGCCCCGCCCCTCATGCCTCACTGTGCCGCACTGGAGCCCCGCCCCTCATGCCTCACTGTGCTGCACTGGAGCCCCGCCCCTCATGCCTCACTGTGCCGCACTGGAGCCCCGCCCCTCATGCCTCACTATGCTGCACTGGAGCCCCGCCCCCCATGCCTGGCTGCCATCGCGCCTGGATCTCGGCCACGCTCTGCTACCTCTCAGACTCAAGGATGAAGGGGAAAAAAAACATACCCGGATACATTCAGAGCACCTTCCCGGCCGACCGAGGGCTGATAAGCACAGAACAAAAAGGCCTTCGGAGAGGGGAGAGCTGGGGGCGGGGTTCACTCGGAAAATACAATCTGCCCGAAACAGCACACCACGTCATTCTACGCCATTCTACATGTGCGCTGCCACACGGATGTAGGACTGCATCGGCCCGGCTTGCCGCTGGCGTCTGTCCGGTACCCCGTGAGGTGTCACTGAAGGACACACGCTGAGTCACAGCAGGTGACGGGTCTGACAGCAGGTGACGGGTCTGACGGCGGCTCACACACGGACAATAAGATGACCAATAAGACATCCAGGGCAGGGAAGAAAGGAGCAGGACGGGGCTGTTCAGGGGAACGAGGACACAGTTAAATGGGGGGGGGCTGACCCAAGTGACCTGAAAACCAGCTCTCTTCCTCCTGGGGGGGGAGGGGTGGCGCTTGCCTTCCTGTCGTCATTGCTCTCGCAGCTCAGACGTCCAGCACAAGCAGCTGCATGTCTATCAGACCCTGCAGACGCCAACCCGCCCCCCAGCTCCCAACCCGCCCCCCAGACACACAAGCTTCCAGAAGGATCCGTCTCTCACCCCTGTAATCAGTAATTTACGGCTCGGGCGGTAATCTCAGCAGCGGATGGGGGTGGGGGGGTGGGTGGGCTTTCTCCTGCTGCACGCCAGGCCTCCCTGCTGCACTTCATACAGACCAGCTCACGTTTCACATCTGGGGAGGGCCAGAACCCCCCAGCGCCGAAGACACGCCCGGACGGCCCAGCCAGTATAAAACCCAGCGGCGATGGCGGCCCGCGAGCTGATAAGTGCAGCCATAAGTGAGGTCCATTCCTTGGGGGGGGGGAGGCACTCACTTTTGTTTTAAAGAGCCTGTTGGACTGACGGGGGGAGGGATAAAATACTGAGAGCCTTAACGTATGTTTAAACATTATCAGGGTGTGAGAGTTTTCCACCGTGTTGGAGAATTTCACTGAGCATTTGACAAAAAGCACTGGGGGAGGGGGGGCGCACACGCACACACACACACACACACACACACACACACACACACTTAGGCATGTCAAGTTTTCCATCCCTGTGAAGAGCAGTGGTGGGCGGAGTCAGACAATAATAGCTCAGCACATGCCCAGAAGCGCCTCTCCTTCTGGGACTCCCGTTTGTTTTTGTTTACTACACATCCCATGGTGCTCTGGGGCCGAATGCCACAAGTGCGAGACGCCTGCCAGCTTCAGCCGGCCAATGCGGGCACATTCAGCAGCACGAAGCCCCATCAGCTAGATGCTTCGGGGGGGGAAACACACAGATGGGGGTCTGTCGACGTGCCATGCAGGAGAAAACTTCAGGCACGACACAGACGGTCTTTTCTTGGTGAGTTTGGGGCCGCCTTTGGAGAAGGAAGCCCGGGGTGTCACCAGCCCGTGCGGAGCGGCTGCACGCCTGGCATGACCTGGCACGACCTGGCACCCCTGGCATGACTAGGCACCCCACTGTGAAAGTCTACACGCCCCCACCACACCAATCACATGTCCTTCACCCCGCATTTGAAACCAAACTACGTGTGTGTTTTCCTGCTTTTAACCATCTTCAGGGGGACAGCAAATGAGTCCCTGGTGGGGGGTGGGGGGTGGGGGGGGGGGGGGGGGAGCCCCGCTCTGCTGCGGATTGTCACAATCCCACTTTTTGTTTTTCTACTACTCTCAAGAGACCCATGCAGACACTATCACGTAAAAGAACAAAAATCTCAAACTCTACAGTCAGGGAAACTTTTAAAGTAACAACCCTCACACAGATCACACGCTAAAGAGAGAGAGAGAGAGAAAGGGAGAGAAAGGAAGAGAGAGGGAGAGAGAGGGGTAGAGAGACACGGCACTTTTACACACTGAAAACGCCACCAACTGCCCCAGGAAGGCGCAGAGCAGCCCTTATGGGCTTAGCTGTCTTTCTAATATGAGGTGACATGATGAAACTCTAGATGAACAACGACGGAAACTGACGACATCAGAGGCCAACAGCAGCACAACGCGGAAGGGCGCCGAGAGGAGAGCCCAGGAGGAGCGGCCGGACTCACCGAAGCAGGACGCCGGGATAACTCTCCTGCGGCTTCGGAAACGCCATGGAATACGAAGAAGGGGAAGAAAAGAAGAAAATGGCAGAGAAATGGCCAGGTCACGTTTTCTGTGCACCTAGCGGAGAACTCCCGCTCCAACGACACCCGCCTCCCCCAGACGGGAAAATGGGGCGGGTTCTAAGATGTCATTTATAGCTCAGTGCTGCGCACGCCCAGCGGTGCCCTGCCTCTCTGCACACCCAACTCCCTGGAGAGCTGACCTTGGGCGACCTTTGGAAACAGTGCAGACAAGGCGATGACAACAGCAGCTAAAGGCGTCAAAAAATGAATAAAAAGCTCTCAATTTTCTGCCGTTACTGTATCA